ATGTGTTACAAAGTTAGGAGGATTCAGTTCGACTTGCTCCACAGATGAGCTTATTATTCCGGAGGTTGATGACAGAGCTCGTGTGGGAAAAGCTCTATGTCGATTACAAGGAATTGCTCGTGCTCGAACCCACTTCATCAAGAACATCACCACCAGAATCCACTGTGCCAGCCTTCTCGCCAAGTTGCCCATGCTTCTACTTTTGGAAAACACGAAGGCATGGCACGACCGTCACTTTTTCTTGGACACCGGTTAATTTTGGTTCAGGTTTCGTCAAGCTAATGACGTTAAACGAGCGCTTCTTGGGAGGCAACCCAAGTGATTTATCGCTTTCTTAGATATTTTTCTTTACGCTTTTAGTTTTATCTTTGAATAATAGGAGTTTTGGAGTTACAGTGTTTTTATGATTAGCAGGTATGAGTTCGCGAGGCTGAGCATAGGCGAGCAGCTTGCACGTGGATGTTTATTCCCCTCGAAGCTTTCGGTTTGCATACCTTTTCTCTTTTTGTTTTTTGAGTTGTTTCCCCTTCTGGCTTTTCTTTTGAGTTTTTTGTCTTGCGTCAGCTTATGTGTTTTTTGTCTTGAGTCAGTTCATGTGTTTTTTTTTTTAGTATGGACTTTGGAAATTTCAAAATTAGTTAAGACTTGTTTGATGAATTCGATGAGTTGTGATGTTGGTCATATGCGGCATAGCGTTATGAAATGCTTGGTTGATTACTTTGATTGGCATTCATATATCTACCTAGTGAGGTTTGAGCCTTATTTGTTTTCTTGTGATACATTGGTTGTGCTCTTGTTCGATTAGAACTTGCCCTGAGTCTGCATTGAAATAAATTGATTAGAATTGTGAGTTGTATATGATTAAGGCGTTTATTGTATTATATCCTTTTTTTCTCTACAAATTATTCCCTAGTCTCCCCTTTTGAGCCTTATTTGATTTTTGTTGATAACCTCGTGATGATGACGTTGTTGGAGTTGTGGGTTAAGAATTAGAGGAGATGATTGTTGGAGTTGTTTGTTCTTTATCAAAAAAAA